TTCAGATATACTTTAAGACCATCTTAACTTTGAGTGGTACGTTTAGTTACGGCACGCCACAAAATGGCGTCCAAAATTCTTAAAAAAAACATAAAAATTACTTGAGATTTTTAGAAAAGAAAACCTCTAAATATAAACCTTCCATCCTCTTAAAACGAGGAGGTAATGGAAATCCCTAGAGGCTTAACGAGGACTCGGCTTAAGCACTACTAATGAAGCAACTAAACGTTAATTAGAACCACGATACTCGGAAGAAAAATATCGGATTTTGTTTAAAAATATTGAGATATTCCAATTACATACTTGATAAACGAAAAAAAAAATTAAGGCAAGTATTTTTGTCAGAAAACCGATTAACCGAATATCAAAAAATAGCAGTGAGCAAGTAATTTTACTTTGAACAAAGTAATACGTATCTGTATTAAGTTATAATAAAAATATTAACGCTTGGGGTTTGACGAATAGAATTATTTTATAATTAATCAGCGAACAAACACAAAAAGCATAGATACGGTCAAATTGAGAAATCTGTTCCTTTTGGAAGTCGGTTTGAAAATGGATGCAAACCTCTTTGTCTGTGGGTTGGATGAAGATCTGTTTAATCCATGAGAGTCCTCTTACCTCAACAAATGTGGGTTCGCCATAATCGCCACTCGTGAGAACACAGTTAAAAAGGTTACGATATTACTGAGGACGCTGCTGCCCGCTCGATTCCTACAATGCTGGAGACTAATACAGTTAAGCAACTATGTATTTCATCAAAAACAGGTTTATTGTATATCATAGTTTTACAGAAACTGTCCCATATATAATTAAAATCACTGCTTGCCTATAAATTGTCCATTGCTGAGCAAAGGCCTCTTTTGACACGGAAAGCATTTATCACCACGGTTATTCAAGGCGGTTTCAGAAATTATAAGACCAGGTTTCCGCACGGTGTTTTCCTTCACCGTTTATCAGTGGTGTCTAAATAATCATACAAAGTATATATAACTTACATAAAGTCACATAAGTACTTAAAACTATCCCTATGCACAATAAGCGGGAGCCTGAACCTCCAAAGCGTCACAACCGCTAATAATTTTAACCTTTCTTCTTAACATACTAACTTTTACATATAAGTCATACTTTTAGATGTAGCTATAACTTAAACATAGTTACGTCATTAGATCTATTTTATTTAGTGACCATTAAGAGCGAAAACCTAGAAGTGGCTTCCGCTTACTCAAGTCTGGACAAACTTTGCCGTTAGTCAAGAGGTGTCAGTTTCGTGCAACTTGAGTAGCTTATCTTAAAGACGATTAGGACGGAAAACAGAGATATTGTTTCTGGGATTTCAGTTCTTAGGCCTTTAGGGATGACCAGTATGGGTGTTGTGGGCGAGGCAATTAGGTAGAACGACTTGAAATTTTTTTAAACGCCACCTAGTGGCGATTTTGATTTTGAGCAAACGGATTACTTGATGGTAAGCAATCAGCGTCGCCCATGAAGATGCAACAATGGAAGAGTTATGAGAGTGTTGCTGTCCTCTTAGGGATTAGGGATTTGGTGACTTTGGGGTTGGGGAGGGATTCAGGGAGGGGAACTTTGGGCCTCCGGTAAATCCACTCACACGGCGAAACGCAACGCTGTGATTGTTTGATGCCGGTTTTCTGTAAGGCTGTGGTATCAACCCAGTCGAGCCGACCCATTTGTGCCAAGCCATGGCCCTCCCAAAAGCATTACCACGTTTAACCTTCTGATTGGTTGGTTGAGTTGGAGAAGGCCAATCAGAAAATTAAAGGTAATAAACGTGTCAATCACCTGAAGGAAGCAAACTTGCAAGGTTATGTTAAGAATGCAGATTTAAATCCACCCAATTAACTTTTGTTCGATTCGCCACAAACGCCACATAAACATATATAAAACGAACATATCTAATCCCAACTCCATTCTAAAACAGCACTCAATAAGCTTCCAATAACAATCAGCTTTGATAGACTTAGCACGTTAGCTGTTATTCAAGCTAACCGAAGTGTGACATTAAATGGATGACAGCTCAAAGCGTTCGCGCCATTTTCTCGAATGACATTCTAAGGTTCGCCATAGACCACAGACTATAGCAAAAAGAAGTTACGGCCGTAAAGGTAGTAGTGCTCGAAAGCTAAAACATTTTTTTTGTACAAATGCGCAGCGTTTTATGTAGACATGGTTATTAATTTAAATCATCAATTTAGGGAGTTTAAGCGATGTGAGTTTTAGTAGTATTTCTGAAAATGACAATTCATTTTAAAGAATTTTCGACACTGATATGTTATAAATTAAGATGAAAGAAGCATGTGCAGCAGCTACTGGGGTCAACCATGGGCGTAGAATAGATCTACATATATAAATGTATAAAAATTACAAGAATTGTATTAGGGTGTACAAAAATAAGAAACACATATTATATGTTAGTGGAGGCGGTTTGTGGCTATCGCTTTTCTACTGCTGCTCCTCTGCAGCAAGCCTTAAGTCAGTCCGGATATTTATAGTTCATTCGTTCGTTCGTTTTGTAGATACGTTCTTTTTGTTCAAAGTTTTTCTTTAGAGCTGAGGCGCGGGTTTTTACTTTTTTTTTATTCTTTCACTGCTACTTTATTTTATGCTTTGTGGAATTTTATTTTCGAAGTGGGCCAAATCTTTGTATAAGATGAGTGTTATTGTTTATTAGCGAATATTAGAGTTTTGTAATGGCGGCCATTTTATTTTATTACTGTAGTTAAGATACTGTGAGATTTTTTTTTGGAATAGAAGCGTGTAAATGTTTTTTTGTGGTTTCAGGTTGTCTGGGCTCTTTAGATTTTTGTGTTGTGAGTCTGGGATTGTGACTTTCGTATCGTATTTGTATTGATAGAAAAGTGAATGATAGGTCAGAGTGCAAAGTTCTAAATTTGCGCCTCTTCTTTCTCCTTCAGAGACAAATATAGGTACTATATTATAGACTTTATACAACTTATTTGTATTCTCGTTTTTGTATAAACTTAAACTAAAACTTTAAAATAAGCTAGAGCAAAAATTCTAGCTTACTTTAAAGTTTTAGTTTCTAAGCTTGACGCTGTCTGTCAGTTTAAGCTGATTTGTATCGAACGAAAAACTTTAACGGTCGACGAAAGTTTTCAGCATCTGTAGTTTCAGCTTTTGATTTAAGTTTGTTCTTTCATTTCTGTTTTTGCATACATATATATTAACATAGATACATATTAGGCGACACTTCGGGCGTCGGGGCCGAAAGACGATCTCCGGCCACCGTAAGCGCGGGTCTGTAGACGGCGAGTAAGGGTAGCTCGCCGCCCAACCAGAACCAGACCCGAGCGTACGGCGCGTAGCGCTCTGCTCGCGCCTCAAAGAGCCAGTAGGCCACCACAGATGGGGCCCTATAGGGCAAATAATCAGTCGTTGTTTAGCCTCGGCCTATATAAAGCAGTAGAAGCAACGGGGTGATTTTTAGTCAGTAGCAGTCTGACCCTCTCGTCACACCCTGGACGGGAGAAGTCATTTGATGATTTTCCCCTAACAAGAAAAAAGCTGTAGGCTGACGACATTTGCCGGGATTGCGGTCAAGCGAATCGCATCGTATCCTCCCAGAGATCGCAGAGCAGGTTCTGAAGGAACGGAATTAAGTCAATAAGATTCTGACATTCCCTCTCGCCTTAACCTAATTCCCTGATTTTCCCTTCTCTTATAAAGGCTTACCCCATTAATAAATAAAAAAGTCAACAAATGGACCGTAACACCGGAGGCAACAGGTTGATAAGTCGACACCTGTTAGATAGCGGCTATCAGGGTTCAGTTAATTAAATCCACCGTCGCACCGAGACTACATAATGAACCCTTTGCTAAAGATAATTGACATACTTTACCATCGCGTACCTAATAAAATGACTGTTTTATCGAGCTTTTCAATATTTTATTTCAGTTTGTTTGAGATAATTTTTTTTATGTTTTTTTTTTTGTGAGGGGAAAATCATCAAATGACTTCTCCCGCCCAGGGCCGGGCAGGAGGGAGTGTCAGACTCTTACTGACTAAAAACCCCCCTGTTCCTTCTCCTGCTCTGTGCCGAGGTCGCGGTACCTCATTGCGCTTACCCCGCAACCCCGGCAATTTTTTTTAGGTTAAGGGTGGCAAACGACTTTGCCACGTTGCACGGTTGTCGTGCAACGTGGCGCTCTGCCTGGTTTGATTTTCGCATGGAACAACTCTTTGTGTGATCTACAAAATGTTGTTACGAGTCTTGGTGTAATGATGTGTCTATGAAATTGTATGTTTGTAAACGCACCCACGACACACGAGCATATCCTTATGTAGGGCAACGTTTAAATAAAAGAAATGGTAGATGGATCACCTGATCGTAAGACACTCGCAGCACACTGAAATTACAATTGTATTGTCGGTATTTTAAGATTAGAGATTTTAAGGTTGTGTGTTTGAAGATGGTGGGCAGGATTGGGATTCTGGTAACATCGCTCACAAGGGTGAAACATATACGTGCCGTTGTATCACTCCGGTCGTGCTGGACCATTTTTGCCAAAGCACTAATCTACCACGCTTTTTTACTAAGAAAATTGTTTGATAGCATAGCGCAGAAGAAGTCTTCTGTTAACCATTTTAATCCTGACGGGTATTTTCGTATCTTTTTCGAAGAACACATTATTATTATTTATTTTATATCATTATTACATATTCCTTAATTTTCTCACTTCCTTATGAAATGATTATGATTTACTTATGATTTAAACAAGAAGTCGGTGAATGCTATTGTTTTTCAACGTCATTTTTTTATTTATTCTTCATGCAACATAAAATTACATAGGCGGACTTAATGCCATAAGCATTCTTATCGGTCAACCTTAGGGTGATGCAGAGAGCGCATTTTATTATTGTCTTTCTATAGAGATGTACAAAATATTGGCTCCACAACTTTAAATTGATTTCTAAAAAAATATATATTTAAAATGACTTCTTTGTATAATTTCCTCAGAGCTGTCTCTCTGCTAACGGGGTTCGTGGTGCGGACGCGGTCTGGTGCTGGAAGCTGGCTTGGATACGTCTCCAGATCGGACCCTAGGGGAGCTCTGCCAGCCTGGTTGGTTAACAGGTACGTCATTTGTTCTACTATTTGCTTACAGGATAAAGAAACAAACGAGATAAGTATATCTATACGATACCTGATTGTAAGCAATCAGCGCCGCTCTTATACCCGCAGTATAAGAGAATTTACTAATCATGGATAGGCTGCTCCTTATTATCTGTTAGTTGCTTTGTGTAATCGTCATTTCAAGGAGCAACGATAAAATACTAGTATTGCTTCGAGATGTACTGCCTAATTACTACATAGTATAATACACGGTCGCTTTCTCTGTCCCTATATCCTTATGTTTGCTTAAATCTTTAAAAATACACAATGGATTTTGATGCGATTCTTAATAGTTAGAGTGATTAAAGAGTACGTCATATATGTATAAGTAGTAACATCTATTAAATAGTGGAGAATGTTAGTATCAGCATTACACCCGCGTGAAGTTGGAGCGGGCCGCTAGGTTTTAAATAAAAGATGAATATTTTACGTGTTGGCTGCAGAATCAGCTGCCGTGCAATGTGTCGCGGTTTCGATTCCCACATTGTACTATTATTTGTGTGATCCATAAACTGTTTTTGTGTAGAAAAACGATTTTACTGCGTTCGTCTTTTCATTGTCTCATGCCTAGCAATAACTTTGAAAAAAAAAACTCATGAGTTTTTAAATATTTACATACGTATCTTAATCTTATATCTATACTAATATTATAAAGAGGTAAAAATTGTAAGTTTGTATGTAGGGGGTTATCTCTGGAACCGCTTGTCCGATATCCAAAATTCTTTCACTTATAGATAGCTACAATGTTCCTGTGTGCTAAAGGATATAAATAAAACATCACGCTATGATTAAACGGAGCCAAGCAGCGGGTGAAACCGCGCGAGAGTAGCTAGTAATATAATATAGACAAAGCTATTCTCTTTCATAAACAATGCATTCAATAACAAACATTAGGTTACCATCTCTGATGATCCTCAGGGCAGTGCTTCGCGTTGAAAAAACGAAATACTATTAAACAGAATGGCTCAACAGTATTGGAAAATGTGAGCGGCATGCAAAGTTAACTGAAAATTGAAAAGTTAATACCTGCAGTGAACGAAGATTCACACTTCTACCTAAAATGGACTGTATTGGTTTACATTTAGAGTTGAATATTCAATACCTTGGTAGTAATGACTTTTATATGCAATGCGATTTGGTTCTATTCGTAAAATTGTTAACAATGTGCCTTATGAAGGTATGGATAGGAGTTGAAAAATCTGATGATATTGAAATCGAGGTTTAGGTAATTCAGATTCTCATAATTTTCTTAAAAGTGACTAATTGCTTCGTTGGAGTTGCTTACTAGTGATTATTAAGAATTTTCTGCTTTTAAAGCCGATCAAATTGCAAACGTATCACGTTTAGAATTTAAAGTGCATTTTGCGATACTCACACCCATATATCATATCCCTGCATAGTATAAACAAAGTCGCTTTCTCTGTCCCTATATCCCTATGAGTACTTAAATCATTAAAAATACGCAACGGATTGTGATGCTCTTGTGACTTTTTTAATACATAGAGTGATTGAAGTGGAAGTTTTAAGTGTATAATGAATTAATGACATCCATTAAATAGAGGAGAAATTTTGTATCTGCGTTGCGTTAGACCTGTTGGAATTTGGGACGGGTCGCTAGCTTTTAATAGTTTTTAATAAAATATTTCTTGTTGGATATTTTTTTAAATAAATATATTGTTTTCATAAATCCCGTTTTTAACTCACGCCTTTAAATTTTTTGTCATGCAGGGTGACAGCGCAACTGGCACCTCGCCTAGTACAGCAGCTGCATGCAGCCGCTCGTCGGTACCCTGGCTGGAAGGCGCTCACAGACCTGCCCTACCACAAACCCTGGAGACACCCTGAACAGGTCCCGCCGCATAGAATCTCTTTGGATGATGTGAGTATTGATTCTGTATAAATTTTTTTTTTTTTTTTTTAATAATTTATTCAGTAAAGTTACAGAAAAGTGTCCTTATCATCTAAACTCGCCAAACTTTAACGTTTGATGGCGAGAGGCGCTCTTTATACAATAACATATTTATACATAATAGTGAATTTAGTACCTAGGTGCAATTACTTAGGTTTTTTTTTTATTTATTTAAATATCCCTATTTTATGCATACTATGTACTTATAGCTAGGTATGACACAGTTTATATAATAATAATTATTGACTAACATAAGAAACAAAACATAAAAACACACACAAACATAACATTCTTACTTCTTATTAATAATCTAATATAAAGCTTTTTAATTTTGACTTAAGAGATCCTTTGGGTAACTTTTTCCCTTCTTCTCTTAGCATCTCTATTTTATTAAATATATTAGGAACTAAGTATGCGGATGTTCTCTTGCCATAATAATTTTTTATCTCTGGTAATATTAGTTTTTTTTCTCTAACCCTACGCGTATTATATTTGTTCTTTACATTAACTTTATAATCGTCATTAAAATAGTATTGCAAACCTACTAAATAATCTACTTTTTTGTCTATGGGTAAAATTTTACAAATAGAAAATAACTTATCATACTCTTTTTTGCAACTATCTTTAACATTTTTACTTACTAGGAACTTTATCAGTCTTATTTGTATATCTTTAATGTCTTTTATATATGTAATAAATGTTCGACCATACACATCGAAATAAAAATGGACTACCATAAATTTGTGATGTATGCTCATAACCGTCGAATAGGTATGGGAGAGCCATTCTTCGCTTCGAAAGGGTTGGCTCGACCGGAGTGATACCACAGCCTCAGAAAATACTAGCTTGAAACAACCACAGCGTTGTGATTTGCCGTGTGAATGAGGTTACCGGAGGCCCAATCCCTAAATATCCCAAACTCTCATCCCCAAAAAGTCGGCAGCGCACTCGTAACACCTCCCTTGTGCGGTACGGGCGTCCATGGGCGGCGTTGATTGCTTAACATCATGCAATGGCTCAACTAGTATGCCGTTCTATCACAAAAAAAACTGCATCAAATCGGATAACAGTGAGCTAAAATTGCAAAACATTAGTTGGCCCCTCGTACCTATCAAATAAAAGAGTGACTGCTTACAGAAGTTAAATAGAGAGAAATAGCCAAAAAAGGTTTGATAAGAAAACAACACCAGTCAGCCTTTGTAGTACAGCCTGTACATAATTTTGTCCTTAATTTCCGATTTTGGCAGAATAGAAAAACTTGAGTTTAAAAAAGGTTAAAATTTTGTTAAGATTGTTTCGAAGTTATAGCCAAATGGTTTTAATTATAAGGCAGGTTTGAATATCGAACAAAATATTCAAAGAAATATTTGTTCGTTCCAAACTATAAGAAATGGGCTATAAAACGGCACTTTTTCATGTCAAATTATTTGTAAAAAAACTAAATGAAGCCGGATATACAAATATATATACTTATGGACACGAACGAACTGCTGTCTGGTATCAGTCAAATGTCTATCCATAAATAACAAGTTAGCGGACGGTTTTCCAACTTTAAGAAAAATATAGGCTGATTCGCGGTGCATGCTAGTGAATCGCGCCGGGACACTGTGTAACGTAATTAAGTAATTACTTATGATTTAACGAAAGTTATTAGATTCAACTATTAATGATGCTTTTCTTATCTGGACAAACCTACAAAAACTAATAATCTCTTGCCAAAGCACTTTAACTTTCTTTGAATTCAAAAGCTGAAGCGACGCGTTAATATTAAAAGAGAAAATTCATAAGATACAAGAAATAAACCCGGAAAAATTTTTGTTAACAGCGTTAATTCTATCTCAGTAATTAATGGCTTATCTAATAACAAAATTAGACGAACCTTCTTTCCAAAGAAAAATGGAAAATTCCTAAGATTTTTGATTTAGGGAAAAATAAGAAATAAAATAAACTTTTAACGAGCTCAAGTAACCCGGCGACTTGGAGACGAGTGACACTTGGAATCGATAACTTCGTCGTCAAGTGACTATAAGTACAGATGGGTATATAGGTATACATACATAGATACATGCGTATATTGGATATATATAAAACTTCAAGTGAACTTGAACTAGAATACTTTAGATAAACGCAAGTAACAGCACTCTGAACTTCACATAAGTATTTTAAAACATACATATTATATTAAAAGATATATAAATGAGCTATTGGCAAAGTAAATGTATCGTAATAATATGTACAGTAATTTTCTGAAATGCTTCGCTTCGAGTTTTCTTCAAGTTCACGTTTTCTGTTCCTTATTTTACATAAGGAATTTCTATAAATAATGTAGTCTTAGTTTTATTTATTAATAAATGACAACACCGATATTTAGGTATTATAATTATACCTACAAAACATTAAACAACGAGGAATTTCGTCGAAATGAAGCTTATTGCTAAGAAAAAGTTATCCTAATGTGATGGGTCTTTCATTAGGTACCTCCAAAGAAATACAACTCACAAAGTTACCCCAGTAACACACTTACAGGAACACGGGACCTTTGAAAGGTTTCTAAATAATTCCCGAAGTTAGTCCGGGATCCAAATCCCTCATTATCGATTAGGTATATTGTTTCCAAACTTTCAATCCAATTCTATGTTTGTACTAAATCCTTATTCGCTTCTAAGAAATGCCAGTAATGGATGGTATTTTAACATTTTTATATATTTTTTTTTTTATTTCAAATTTTCTTTAGACGCTTCATCGAATTTCTGGAACAAAAGAAAAGGAGAATTATTTTGCGCGTGATTTTGCGTATTTGCGTAATGTCATTCTTGGAATACCTTTTTTGTTTTTATCAAGGGATAAATCATTAAATTTCTTCGGCTGACCAGGGCGAGAGAAGATCAGACACTTACTGACTAAAATCGTCCCGTTTCATGTCCTCTCAGGACCCCGGAATCCCTGCTCATGCATGGCATGGCCTTCCCACACAAAAAATCTACCAAACCGATTTGTAACCTTTAGTATTATGCCTCCAGAAAGGATTGCAAGCTAATAATGTGCCGCTACAGTTAGGAACAGAAAAAAACTGGGTGAACTTTAGTCAGTAAGAACCTGACACTCATTGTTACCCCAGACAGAGTGAGAGAGAATACTGGATAACATTATTCTCTGTCAAAAAAGGAGGTAATATTAAAACACTATATTTATTTCATTGTAATCCAGGAGTTTAGTAAATAATAAGAACTAACTTCGAAATTAGGTAGAGCGAAACCTAAAGCAGTTTACATCGCGTCAGATACAGAAGTTTTCACACAGTTTGTATGTTCACACAATAACACGGTTGATAAAACTTTGTACCTAGTTACGGTTTAGTAAAACCTAGTTTGGAATTCAGCGAGGTGTTACACTGAGGTTTTATTTAATCTACAGTAATATTATAAAGAGGTACACTATTTAACTTTGTTTGTAGGGGGTAATATTTAGAACTGCTGGTTGGATTTACAAAATTCTTTCACTGGTAGATAGCTAAGCTACAATGTTCTTTAGTGCTATAGGCTCTAAAAATCCATCTTACGTCCGATAGGAGACCAGAAGCCGGTGAAACCGTGCGGCAGTAGCTAGTGAAATTTTCTCTTAAGTAGGCGCTGCCTGGTACGAGTCGGCTGCCTCACAGATAATGCTTGCTTAATAATGATAGACGATTTCACACTCGTAATTATAATATGTGTGTTGTCTTCACGTTGTTTTAATTCATCGGAGTCTGAAAGAGTGAAAAAATCCTCTAAGATTTTTTAGTTTAATTCGGAAAAAGTCATATTTTGTCGGAACTTGCCGTGTTTTGAACCGGTGTAGAGGGTGTTTGGGAGTGCCATGTTTCGGCACGAAGTCCGAGGGCTTGACCAGAGAGATACTATAGCCTCACAGAAAACCGGAGTGAAGAAACATTTGCTTTGTGTTTTGCAGTGTTTTCTTTTTTTTAAAAAAAACGTTGCCCCACTTTAGGATTTTCTCCGGTGTCGTGGGTGCGGTTACAAACATACAATTTCACATACACATGACACCCAGACCCGGAACAACAATTTGTGGATCACACAAAGAGTTGTTCCGTGCGGGAATCGAACCCGCGACATGTTGCACGGCAGGCCAGTTGCCCAGCCACCGCACCAACCGTGCAGTCAAACTCATGTGAGTGGGGTTATATGAGTCCCAAACCTTATCACCATCAAACGCAAACGAGCAAACGGATTACTTGATGGTAAGCAATCGGCGTTACCCATAAACACCCATAACATGGCACTTCTTTTATTTTCATTCACTATGTTATAATAATAACAAACACGTTAAACGACCAACCCCGGTCTTTTCTGCCGCTTTTAACACAAAGTTTCAGTAATTTCCGTGACAATCAAACATTATTCCCCGTGAATTTATTATTATGCAAATGTTTCCTGTGTGGTATTTCGAACACTTTTCATTATTAAGTTATTTTTATACGTACCTCCCTAAATAATGAAAAATATTATCTACATATAAAACTTTATGCACCTACTTAATTATTTGAAATCATAATAACAAAACACAACAATAAAGTAATACATGTACTACAGGTAAATTAATTAACCTTAATTATAGATAACGTAAAAGGTTTATGGTTTTAAAACCTTTTAAAGGGCGTTTAACATGTTTGAGGTTGTATAATTAATAAGAAGGGTTAAGGTAAAATTCAAATGAACACAAAATACAGTACCTATCTCATAGTTGAAAGATAATTCTAATCTTTATAATTTTATTGTCTGCAACAAACTGCCGTGTAACTTCCAATCCAATTAATACACACAGACAAGGCCCTACAGGGTTGATGTTCAGCCGGGTTTGCGGGGCAAGCGCAATGTGGCACCGCGGCCTCGGTCTTAAACAGGAGAACGAACGCGAGTCTTTTAAGTCAGTAAGAGTCTGAAACTCTCTCCCTAGCCTTACCTTGGGCGGGGACAAAAAATAGAAGATCCAATATGTTCATATGTCGCATGCAACTGGTAAAAATAATCGTTCAGTCATCAGCTAGCCCTTTGAACGCAGTACAATTTAAGTGGCTATTTATTTGCGATGACGATACGATTTCCGTACGGTTCACAATTCTAACCTAACCTTACTAACCATTCTGGTAGCGACTCTGTTTTCATGACAATCCTTTCACATTTCAACTTACAGCCTGAATTATAAAATTTGAATTGAATTTTGCCAAGGCCGTTGGTTGGATGGTTAATTCAACTATTTGGCTGCGACATGATACTTAAAGATCATTATAATGTGTGTTTATAAACGCAAACCTGCGTACATGTGCGTCTCCTATAAAAAATGTGAATGACAAAATACATTTTTTTTAACTTCAATTTTCTAATTCCAGTGCGTTGACCCCGACGCGCCACCACCGCCCGAAGAACCAAAGCCAGACACATCCAAAGGGAAACTAGAAGTGCCACATCCCAAAGAAATAGAGAGCCACAGCGTGGAAGACCTCGGCGACATATCTTCAGAGTTCAGCGTAGAAGTTGAAGAAGATAACCTTGACCACACAACAGACCCAAAAAAGAAAGGCAAATTCTACAGACTTGTAAAATCTATGAAGAATAGAAGGAAAAGTGTTCAGGTAGCCAAGAGTGCTGATAACTTGGCTGATAAGCCTTTGGAAGAACGGCATGAGAAAAAGAAAGGGTTTAAGTTTCATAGGAGGTTTAGCCTGAGTCGTGGGAGGGAAGATTGAGCTTATACGCGTTGTGACTTAGAGCGATAGGGTTTGTGTATTGGTTTTGAACTACGTGATGACGATTCCAGTAATTTGACATCTATGGCAAATTGTGACAGTTTTATTTTTCGATTTTCAAGTTCATGTCAAAGAAGGTAAGGTTGAAATTCGATTATCGAAATCCAAAACTTATACATACATGGTGTTCTTTTTTTAAAATTGTGAGTAGGTAATATAAAATGACTCACTTGGTGTTTTACGAACAAGCTCGAAATCCTTATCACGTGGTTCAAAAACAATTTTAATTGTTTAAAGAGATAAGAAATGTTTCCCTTGACATGCCAAACAATTGTTTTTATTATTATTTTGTTTACAGTACAGTTGGTTAATCCTATTTGACTGTACTCTTAGCCCTTTTTAATTACTACTAGCAATGACGAAATTTAATTAGGTGGCGCTTATTTATAAAGCCTTTGTAACAAGAAAACCTTTGAAAACATGTCAAGATTGTTTACATTAACTTAATCATCTAAACTGATAGACAATAGCCCCCTTTAGTCCAGGTTTAAACCATTGAGTCGGGTTTTGAATTTTGAATCTTATTGTCATCTACCTTCAATTCGAAATACGAAAACTGGCTCAATGGCTTAGTCCTAGACTAAAGTAAAACCTTGTTTCGTAATAAGGCCGCAGTTGTTTCCAGCGGCTTTGTCCGTGTGACCTTAAGAATAAGGTTCATATTACTTCAGCTTTGTAATGCTCTTTACAAACAAATATCTTATCAGAAACACAAAACACATTTATAATATTATTATTATTTTTTTGGAGTTTATGGCCTGGATACGAGTCCTTTAAGCCAATTTATAATATTAGGTTGTAGGTAGATACAGATAAAAAATTAAATAATAATATTTAACTATAATTCATTTTATAATTAGATTCTGTCGAACAAAAATCCAACATACAACAAAATACGTTCAATAATAAAAATAATACTAATACTTACTGAATTATTCAGTCGACTGTAAAATTGACATAACCTACTTTTTTCGATAAAAATATTTTTGTTTTTTAAGATAACATACTTTCATGGCTATCTTGTATTGTTTTATTTAAAAAATCTTTTTAGTAAGGACATTTTATTTAGTTCTGTATTATATTAAGACGAGTTGCTAGTTGCTACCTACATACTGTGTTGACAATTTTATTAAATTAAATTAAGTTAGTGAACTATGTTTGACAAAAGTGTATAAAAACAATAATTTTGACGATTCCAGTCGAGTATTAATAAAAGTACAATTAATACCTTAGAAATTTAAAAATTTCAAAAATCACAATGTGGAGTCGACTTGTAAGTACCTATTTATATCATTTTATATTAATTTTTTTTAATTTCGAAATCGTTTAAAATATGTGTTATTTTTTTCTCTAAGAAAAGAGGATATTCTAATTTTTAATAGGTGAAATAAAACGATGTTAAGCAGCTTTCAAAATGTACTGAATTGTGAATCGTATCATAATATGCACTTACAATATATTGTTAAAAGAATAGATTCCGCAAGAAAAGAATACCTACAAGTGTAATATTAAAAATTAACACAAAGAAAAAATGACATCAACCTTTTTCCGAGACCTTAACATTATACATATATTTCCCGTTACCAGCGAGCAAAGCCTCGAGATTCGCTAGTGTTAAAACTATGTTATAATAGAAGAGAGAGATGCTAAAAAAACATGTTTGTAAAAATGCAATGTTTTGTATAAAAATGTTAGACGTTGGCGTAGCTGTTACTTATATTAAGAAATAGTTTGTATTGAATTTCTCGTAATAATATTTCTTAAACGTATCTTTAAATCTTCATATTGCTATTGTGTTTATCTATTACCCTTATCTTTCGCTCTCTTTTTCACTTCAAAATAGAGAAGTACTTGATAAATAAGTTTTGAAACAATAACGTTTTAGCTTACACAGCATTATTTTATCGTGATAATTGAGTAAGAAAGATTAGGTGTTCGAATACTTAATTCATCAATAGTAAACAATAATCTATTATGGGTAAATTATGATCCAAAAGGGGTAAACTATAATTAATGAAGGGTAACTACATATTATTATAATTGATGACAGGAATGTTTGGCATGACAATCAAAACAGTGTAACACGTTCATATGGTGTAATTTCTTTGTTACCTACATTTTTTAAATTTAGAACGATATCATTACCATATGGGTATATTATCGTAAACATTGACGAAGCTATATTTATAATACGAAACACAATAAAAAGCGTTATGATTTCCACTATTTTCCAATAAAAATGACTGGCAGCTTAAACACGATTGTAATCGAACAAAAATCGTTACCTACAAAAACATCGATAATGGAGTTAACAAAAGATTTTTTTTCAACGAAATCGAGAGAATTCCGGCTGTGTATGAAATAGATTAGCATTATCACAATACCGTGTTTTTTCTTTCACTACTTTTCGATAGTCGTTTGTTTTTGTGTTGTCAAATTCAAGGGAAACAGGTTTTGGTAGGTAATAAGGGAGGTTTTTGTGTTGGAACGTTTACGTAAGAATTAACTTACTTACATAAGAACACTTCGACAAATGGTTGTAAGTAGTAATCATTCGTTTATAAACGCGTTTAAAAAAGGTAAAATGTCGTTGAGTTTATTGAACAAATAGATTGTTTACTAGCAAACCAATTTTTTCGAATTAGGAACCTACATAATAACTGAATTCGAATTCCATTTTTCTTTTTTCGAATTTTAAATCGTATTATACTAATTTATACCTAAATCCGTAACACATTAGTGTCATTGTCCTATCTATGATCTAGATTTCTATCTTATTTTTTCTATATATCTTCTAACCTATTTATGTTACCGTATAATAATAATAATAACTCCGCTTATCTTTGTATACTTGAAAATATATTCGCTGTTACATAATTGTATTACTTATATTTAACTTTTAACGTTGTATTTATAATTAAGTATTCTTCGTACTTACTGTTCGTAAATATGTTTATAATGCGTGCCTTCAATCTTCTAATCTTTGTATCTAATGTATTTTCAAATAGATGTGGGATTCACTTTTAAAATAATTTATAAGTTCGAAGGAATATTCCTTATTATGAAAAACTGGTCAAAAATGCCGCTAATGTACCAAAAAGTTAGTTTGTCCAATCATTGTAGCTGTCAAAAATTCACTAGCCAATGGTGTGACACTAGCTAATTTCCTATTGGACGAAAAGACGAGAGTAGCTCCATCTGGCGGGCAATAAACGGTAGTCCGCTTCTAATGCAGTCTCCAGATATTTTATGCCTTTTTTTATTTTTAATTCAGTAGCATTAATATTATTTGTTCTAATATTAATATTACTCATTCTATTAAGTATTTTTACTTTTTTTAAATTAATTATGTTTTGCTGCTTCGTGATAAGATAACCCAACTATTTTCAAGACACATCAGGGGCAAAAGAAACTCTTTGCTTTTCTTCTGCATAAAAATAATCATCAAGCAAGAAGAATCATCGCTGTACCCAGATTTTTTTGTTATAGCCCTTGACTATAGTTTTCGGAACAAAATCGTGTCTTTTTTTTGTCAGTGGAAAATCATCAAATGACTTCTCCCGCCCTGAGTTAGGCGTTAGAGAGTGTCAGACTCTTACTGACTAAAAACCCCTCGTTCCTTCTTCTGCTTTGGGCCGAGGCCGCAGTGTCATTCACTCATTGCGCTTAACCCGCAACCCCGGCTAACAAAATCGTGTCTAAGACATAGTTTAAATAATGATTAAATATCTCTGAGTGCACACGTATATTAAGTACTAATTTAAAAGTGTAAACTACATCTTTCGCTGTCACGGTTTTTGCGAAATAGGTAATATTGTAACGACAATCGATTTGGCAAAAACTAGCATAAAAGTATTGTTAATGTAATTTCTTCTATGTAATCAATAGATTAAGGATATAATTTGAAATGTTCATGCTACGCTGTTTGTTCTTCTGTGTGTGTATCGTACTTTTAAGTGCTCAATTTTTTGTAGAGGACTTTGCCGTGGTAATGTCTTATTTTTTGCAAACTCCAAAATAGATATCACACAATAAAACAAACTGTGAAATGTATCTTTAAACATTTTTTGGCAAAAAAATATTACGTTTATTTTGTGACTCGAGAAAAAACTGCTACTAATTGAACAATTTGATTTAAGTATAGATAGATAATATTTACCAAAACTACTCAGATTTTTTTTTGTTATGGTAGTTATTTTTATGAGGCTTGAAGTGCAAAAAAATCATTACACCATATTTTAAATAAGACGTTACCTTTTATTTAATTACTTATCTTTATCTGTTTTAAAAAAAAACTACGGATAACTACAGACAAAGTTCTTACCATGTTTTATCAATTTAGAAAAATACACAGATTTAATAACAATTTAGTTTTAACATTCTTTACCTATGGAAAAAAGTGTAACGAAAATATGTAGAACTATTTTCGAATTCAAATTAAATCTTGGGTACACGATTGGCCGAATAACGCACCAATCGCGAAAAACGTCAAAAATTTACATCAATAACTTAATAATTGTATTTAGAAAATCGTGTACTCAAATATTTAATAAAAAAATATCATATTTGACTCTAATATCACGTACTTTTAAATACTAGAAATAATTATGTCCCTATGACAATAAACGAAGGTTTAAAAAGTTCAAAACAACATTTTCAATAGATATTTCTTATTAATTTCACTACCTTTTTGTCTAAGACTTTACTCTAACCTTGTACTTAATAAATGATACGAAAAAATCATATCTCTTAGCTAATTTTTATCTAAAAATGTATACAAGTGTTCGTGCTGTGATGCTTGGCTTTTTAAAATGTTTTCTATACTTTTGTCAATGTTTCTGTATTGTTGATACTGTCCGGCAGTCTTAGTCAAGTTGACTGTGTATTAAAAAAAAACGAGGCAATTGTAATGAGGTTTTAATCACCCGAACCTTTAATAAATCTCGTGGTTACAATAATTGTGTTGTGGTATCTCGATTTATTAGAGATGATTATGAACAGTGTTATAAAAGTAAATAAACGAAGTTTTAAAACTAGAGATACGGCGAAGTCATGCAAATCGTGGATCACAAATACGCATAAATATTTGTGCCCCATTATTTTTCATCATATCTGATTGATGAAAAAAATACTTTTTATAAACATTATATACATTGTTTTCTTTAGTTTTATATAGGTACCTGTTTCGTTTTCTATACCCTTATATATGTATAGTGAAATTGGCTAAGACTGCAAGGATTTTGACTCTGTTATGTGAACATAACCTGGGTTGAAGGATCTGGTAGCTTTGTTAATTTTTCTTGTAAATAATGTTAGGTACCTATGTAGGTGGTGATATGTTATTCGCACGTTAGCTGGAGGTGTGGTACAAGTCACGTTTTAATTGTAATAAGCATTTATAAGATCCATGGGAGT